TGGGCCTGCAGGCTCCGGGGAAATACCGCTAAACTCAAAAGACTTTCGCCCCTCACTGAGGGGCGTGTGTGTGCGGAGTGGCAGAATACCCTGTCACCACAATTGAGCGCAGGGGGACACAGCACTTCACTGGGACTGTGTCCAACGAAGCTACCAGTGAAATGGGATATCCAGCTTGGCCAGCTGGACGTACCTGCATTAAGCCCGATGTGCACATTCTGAAAGTCTATTTGGCCCCCTTGGTTGCGGCGCTGTTTGTGCTTCTTGTTCTTTCGGGTAACGTTTTCGTTTCTAGAGTGAAGCCAAGTGACCTGCCAGCCGAAACTTATCCGACTCGAGACTCATCAGTTGTACTCGAGACTCATCAGTTGTACTCGAGACTCATCAGTTGTACTCGAATGACTAGCACCCTCCATCTGGAGTTTAAGTGTGTGTGAGTGAGCCTGTGTGCGGGCGCGTGCGTGGGTGGGTGTGCATGCGTGAGCGCGCGCGCGCGTGCCCGCGTGTGTGCTTGTGCGCGCGTGCCTGCGTGCGTGCGGGCGGGCGGGCAGTGAAGGGGACATGGCGAAATGACGGGAAATGGTTAGAAAATAGATGGAAAATGTGGAAGATGGATGGAAAACTGAGGGAAGATGTTTGGAAAATGGATGTGTATGTGTGCAAGCAAGGAAATGTATGTCATGTGTGTTTATGTTGTGGTTGTCGCTGCTGCCTGCTTAGCTGTCCTTGCAGGAGCTGTGAGGTTGAGTCTCGCGATGCTGCCGCGGCCGGTTGTGCGCCAGCAACGTAAATCCGGCCGTGTCGGGTTACCACCTTGGTCCTTTGGAGGGGAACCGAAGGCCTCCGGGGAAACCACGGGCTCGGGGCGCCCGGATTTATAAGGGTCGCGCCCCTGCCGCCGACCCCCCGGTTCACCCCCGGCTCACTCTGTGTCGAAAGCTCGCTGCCAGGGGAAAAAAGTGTTCGGGAGCATTCTCTAAAAAAATGGATCAGCATAGCCGCGATGTCCGCATCCATGGCGGACATTGATGGTGCATTGGTAACCTGCTTAGCAGGCAGGCCTCAACGATCCTGGCCGAACTCGATTCTTGGCAGGATTTCTGGTGAACCCAACAAAAAACACTGTTTTTGATAGTTTTGTATGGATTCTAGGCCGGGCGCACACGTGGAAAATGTGGAAATCTGCTTAGCAGCCAGGGCTCACCTCTCAGAGGACCAAAAAAAAGCAGCCCGCAAGCCAGGCCGGAAACGCAAATGCAACAAAACACCGTAAATAGCAGTGTTTTGTGGCTGGGGTCGCGCGCGCGCGCGCGCGCGCCAGAAGGCCCGAAAACCAACTCGAAAAAAGCAAGGACCGCGCAGCACACAAGCCAGCCACAGCAAAAGCAAAACGGACAGAACAACAGCCCAACGCTCAGCACAGCAGTTTTTGGCGGTATTTACAGCGTTTTGTAGAGCGAGGACCCAGCATCGCCGGCATGCCCGGCAGCGCTTGGCGCCAAAATGCGCAAAAATGAGCCTCGCTTATACCCCTCCGATACGTACTTAAAACAGTGCTTTTTGGGTGGAGAGGCTTTTTGGAAGGAAGTCTTGATGATGCAGACCAAGCCCCGCTGAAGCACGAGCTGGCGATGCAGAGGTGCCGGATGTAGGCCGCGCATCACGACCAAGTGGCGAGGGTCGGCGGCACCAGGGTGCAGCCCCTATAGCTAAAGCTAGCAGACCCCAAGGAGGCGTAGCCGGACCTTCAGCCGTCCGCCATGCCGCCGACCGCATACGTTTTGCGCTGGGCCCGCCCTTACGAGTGGGGAAGAAATTGCGGATCGGTTTAGGGGATTTTTCTAGCATCTCCCCGCGCAGTCCAAAAACGAGTGTTTTTGTTGGGGGGTGCCTAATACTGGCAACACCATCAGCATTGCCAGTATGATGATGCTACGCATGCTGGCGATACGAAACAAGGGGCTGACACTTGCAGAAAACGAAGAGGACATGCAGGGAAACAGGAGTGACTGAAAGTGCACGAAAATGAAGAGGGCACTGGAGAGAAACCAAAATGCAGGAAAATGCAAGGGCAGAACGTGAAGGGAACCGGAGGACGGGAACGAAGAGAAATTCTTGGAAATTTTGGGAAACGAAGAGAAAATTACTGAAGAGAAATGAAAGGATGTGCAGGAAACTGACGTGAAATAAGAAGCGAGGTTGTAGTCACGGGAACTAAAAAGAACTAAGGGAAAGGATGCGAATGAAGGGGCGTTCAAGCAAATGAGGGGAGCTGAAACGGAAATGAAGCGAAAGGAAATGAAGAGAAATGCCAGCAAACTGTCGGACATGCAGGGAAGACATGCAAAGGAATTGAAGACCAAATCCCGGGAACTAAAGGAAAATGAAAGAATGGGAAGGGCAAGGTGCCCGGTGGCCGGCTGTGTCGCGTCAGCGTGTAAATCCGGCTACGCCTCCTAGGGTAGTATGTCGCCGCTAGGCAATTAGCCTGCTAGTCGTGACGCGGTACCTAAATACGGCACCTCTGCATCACCAGTGCGGTTTTGCTTGCCTGTGGGAAACCCTCGCAAAACATCGCGTGTGTGCAGGGTTTAAGCCATGTGGCTGACATCATCAGGGTCTGGGGTTGGGCCTGGGTGATGCTTCAGCGGGGCTTGGTCTGCATCATCAAGATTTCCTTCCAAAAAGCCTCTCAGCCCATGAAGCACTGTTTCTTAGAAGGTGTCGGAGGGGTATAAGCGAGGCTCATTTTTGCGCATTTTGCCGGCGACACTGGGCCCTCGCTCTACAAAACGCTATAAATACCGCCAAAAACTGCTGCGCTGAGCGTTGGGCTGTCGTTCTGTCCGTTTTGCTTTTGCTGTGGCTGGCTCGCGTGCTGCGCAGTCCTTGCTTTTTTCCCGTTGGTTTTTCGGGCCTTCTGGCGCGCGCGCGTGCGCGCGACCCCAGCCACAAAACGCTGCTATTTACGGTGTTTTGTTGCATTTGCGTTTCTGGGCTGGCTTGCAAGCTGTTCTTTTTGGGCTGCTGTTTCTAGGGCCTCTGGCGCGCGCGCGCGACCCCATGTCAGCCTTCTGGGTTGGGGCCCGGCTGGGGCCCAGAAGCTGGCATCCCCGGCATCATCTGCGGTTGGGGTGGGCAACATGCATAATTAAGGCTTCTCAGCTGACAGACCCACACTGCTGGGGATAGTTGCGAGACTTTGCCTTGCGGGTGGCAATCTAGGCAAGCAACGTGATAAAGTGCTGCCTTGCAGGAAGGTCAGTCTAGCGCTGAGAACGCATTTGATGCAATATGAAAAAACTAGCGCCCATTGTCCTGTGTCGCAACACTCTCACCCATCACTCTCGCCCACTCGCAACACATGTGTCGCAACACTGTCTGAACATGGTACTGGTCGAGCAATGGAAAGATCTTCGATACATCCAACGAGAAAGTAACAGGCATTCACACTGAATGCATGGCCAAGGAACAAGACATGACAAGAAACGAGTGATGTGGAGGGAGGCTGGTCTAGATTTAGCGCCAAATGAACAATCCATTGCTTGGATTCAAGGGCGAAACGAAACTTCAGGCGTTAGACACCACAAAAGAACCTGACCTCGCCAGCTTTGCTTGCATCTACTCAAGGGCATGTCTGCCAAACCCCAGATGAGTGGCGAACATGCAAACGTGCAACAAACCCAATGCAGCAGACCAAACACTTGTCTTTGACAGCGAAGTTGAACATGGACAACACATTACACATCCCTACGTTTTGGTATGATTGTTTACAACTTCCAGCTTGTCAGCATGAATGGACATACAAACATTGTTACATGCTGAGCAAGCTCGTGCGCGAGTCAAGGCCCGCTCCAACATTTGAGCAGAAAACCTTGCAAAGCAGCGGGGTTTGAGAGCTCATGGGATTCCAAAGCCTGCAGTTCAGCACCATTTCAAAAAGCATGCTCGAAGTAGCGCGCTTTTCTCTGCACATCTTCGAATTGTTTGGCATTTGCACACTTCGGCAGACGGGATGCCTCGGTGAAAGAGATCTGTTGCTGGTCCTGTACCCGTCGCAGGCATTCCCTGCTTGACTTGAAGACCGCAGCCTGATGCTCAAAAGTGTGAGCATTGACCTCCCTAACTCTTTAAGTCAAGCAAAGTCACGCTGCAACGAAACAACTGTGCCGCAGCTGTACCTTTATTTTCCGGTACGAGGTGACACGTTGTGCACCAGCATTGCCTCAGCCGAGAAGAGCAAGTGACAAAAGCCATCTTAGGACGCGCAATGGTGCAAGTTCACAAGTGTCAAACATGCTGTGCTAAGGAAGGCACCCAGTCTGATGCATCTCAAGCTGGTAGCACAAATCCGTAGCAATCTGCCCTGACAGCTGGGCGACGGCACAACCCAAAGTTGAAAGGCATAGGAACCAAGCGCTAGGCTCATCTGTGTCGCGCAAACTTGCTGACATCCTTGCTTCTTTGACCCAGCGGCCATCCTGCAAAGTCCAGCTGAGAGACGGCAAGGGGTGAGGTGAGAGTGAGATGAAATGGGTGTGCTTTTCGACACGCAAAGCTCTCCTTCTGGCTGTAAATGTCGATTTCATCTGCGTCGCAGGACACAGTATTCGGCTTCTTTTGCGTAATTGCCTCAAGTAATCTCATATGACAACAGTCTCAAACCAAAACAAACAAAGAACTGCTGCGACCCGCTTCTGAGATCATCCACCTGACATTCTCGTGAAGCTTAAGCAACATACCAGAAGGCAAAACAAAGCTGAGGTGCCCTGAAGCCTTCAGAGTGCGAGTCCCAAACAATAACGGACCTGCCAACCCGCTTCTGAGCGCATGGCTTCTTTGAGGTCGTCCACCTGATATAGCCAACCAAACGCGTGAACCACCACTCCCGAACACAGAAAAGAACTGAGGCAATCCCTCGCTAAGTGAAGCAGCTGAGGTCGCTGCGTTTGCCAAGACACCTTTGACCTGAAACGCATTGACAAGCACTGCAATCCAGTTCACATCCAGCCGTTAAACCGACGGCTCCACAAACGCCTTCGATTTTGGAGGTGGGACAATCTTCTGTGGAGGAAGTTTCTCTTGAGCATGAACGCAGGGCAGGCAAGACTGTGCACAGCTGGTAAGGCCCGGGCAAGGCTTTTCAGCTGACGGACCCACACCGCAGACACCGCAGCGGATGGTTGCAAGGCGGCACTGCCTTGCAGGCGGCATTATGGGCAAGCAACGTGATAAGCGCTGCCTTGCAGGAAGGCCAGTCTAGCGCTGAGAACACATTTATTGCAGTATGAAAAAGTCTAGCGCCCATTGCCCTGTCCCAACACTCTCACCCATGGGCGGCGCTGCCTTGCAGGGTGCAGCTCTGACAAGATTCCACTTCGCTGAAAAGATTCAATGATGATTATTCCAGGCGGAAACCCTACAGTGAATGAAGCACAGTTTGCATCCTGACTTGCGCAACAAATCTTTGCGCCAATGCGAGCGAAAATGTTGCCTGGAGGTTGCGCAGGTTTGTTGATGCGCAAAACCTTCTGGATGCAGCGGATCCTGTTGCTTGTGTCCAACGCACGTGCCACGAGGTCGCACTCGACATAGTACTCCACCAAATCTGCACCCTCTGCAGCTTGGGCACCTCCAGGGCGACGGATGATTCAGTTCTTTACCACACTCCAATCTTTGAGAGTCTTCAAGATGACAAAAAGCTTTGGGGCTGGCAATGGAAAGTTCAAATTCAAACAAAAGCCGAGTCGGACAGTTGTTTGGCACCCAAACCTCGGTACAGAATGTTGTAGCCAGTGTGCGCGGTATTGGGCACCAAGCCGATGATCTCGACACCATCTGCTTTCGTTTTCAAGACGCGCTCTCGCACCCGAGATTTGCTGCTTCCAATCGTGACTAGTGCCTTGTGGTCGGCGTTGCTGTACGCATACAGCGCAGTGTCAAAGCGTCCCCGGTGATTTTCGTGGTCTGTCGGGCCACGCTTTGCCATGATACATTCCACACCAAAGGTCCTGTTGTCAATGTTCACAAAGATGTCCACCTTGCCCACTTCTTTGTTGTGGGACGAATCAGCTGCGTATCCGAGCCTTTGCAAGACTTCGATCATGGCGGCATTGTATTGGTCTTCAAAAGGCAAGTCATCCTTTGACAGTGAGGAATCTGCTGCTGCCTTTGGTGAAAACCCCACAACCTGGGCAAAGGTGACATACGGAATCGCGCAGTAGCAAGTCCATGCAGTTCACAGGGAGAAAGGGATCAATTCTCACTTTCAAACCGCGAAACCTCTCCAACCGGTTCCGATAGAATGATGCCAGAATTGGGTTTGCAACCATATATAGGACATCGTCTCTCGTCCAGTCTACTCGCCGGAACTCGCCATCATGCTCAATAGGCACCGGGATCACGAAGCCACAGACAGTCAAGTCACGGCGCAACTCCTCAGAAAGCTGGCCTGGACCCTCGCAGAGAATGTGGACAAATTCCATCGGTGCCATGTCAAGGTTGCCAAACTGTCCATTGACTTTCACACCTCGAGATGCAGCAAGTCCTTCCAAAATCGAGCCCCGTGCCCACCAGTTGGTTGCATCGATGCTGTCGCGAACTCTGGTCACGGTCTCATTATACTTCCACAGTGCTCCGTGTTGATTGTTTTTGACCCATGCCATCGCCGCGATAAAGATGGATCTGTGACCGCCGCAGAATTTCATGAAGAAGTCAACGCTATCCTTGTCCAAGCACACACCAGCCTCTGTCAACCGCTCAACAAAATCCTCACCAACGCCGGGGATGGGAGGAGTCCAAAACACTTTTTGGCTGATCTCAGTGGGTGTGGGAGGCTGAGAGAAGGAGCACTTTGGGGTGGATTGAGCTCCTGAAGAGCAATGTTTTAATGCGTGGCAAGTTGAAGATTGTGTGCGCTTCATCCAATACCAATGTCAGATTGTCAGCTTTTGCCAGCCGCAGTGCGTCCTCAAGCTGCGTGCCACTCTCATTCACCTCCTTCCCGGTTGAAAGCTTAGTTCCTTCAACGATGTTCTTGCGCCAAGAATCGTACCCGCCATCGCCAAATTGAACACTGATAAATGTCTTCGGATATTCCCGTCCCAAGTGGTACCCCAATGTGGTTTTTCCGACCCCTACACCTCCGCGGAGGAACACGAACTCCTGCCCCTGGAACAAACCCTGGATCTTCACGCCATAGTCATCCAAGGGGATGAACATATGTTCTTCAGGATTTGCAGGACTTGTGAGCGGAGGCAACTCAAGTTTCTTGCGCCCACCGGTCTTGCCATCTGCAGCCAATCTTGTTTGCACAGGCGGCTTTTCATGAAATCGACCTGGCACGAAGACCCGCAGCATGTACATGTGTTCCATGTACCAACCAAGCCCCAATACCACCAACTTCCATGGCTTCCGATTCTTTGGCACAACCATGGCTGCAAGAAGGAGCCTACAGCTCAAACGAGCAGCCTTTTTTGTGGCAAAGAGATCAAACACTCTTCAAGCATCAATCAATGAGATTGGGACTTGGATGACGCGATGACACATTTCTTAGAGCCATGCATCACTGCAGCATGTGTCAAACAAGAACCAACATACTTGAAAACTTCAGTTTTTTGTGAGCGATGATCCCCATTTCGAATTGAGAGGCAATGATGAAAGGCACATCGTCAAACCTGCGAAGCTGCGGTTTGTGGATATTTTGTTGCTTTTGAGAATCTTGTCTTTTTCAAAGAAGGGACACAGCCTGCAAATCAAGCACAAGAAGCCATCTCACGAGATGTGCTGCAGAAGTCGTGTCATTCCGAAGCTTGCAGCTGAGCGCCATTTCCATGAGCATGCTCGACGTAGCGAGCTTTCCACACTTCTTCAAACTGTTTGGCATCTGCGCACTTCGGCGCAAGGAGGGATGCCTCGGTGGAGCAGCTGTTGACCAGCACCGGCACTGTTGCTAGTACTGTACCCGTTGCACGCATTCCCTGCTTGACTTGAGCACCGCAGCTTCATGTTGAAACATGTGAGCATGGACCCCCTTAACCCTGCAAGCCACAGAACACCAAAGAAAGACGCTCACTGCAAAGAAGTGACTGTCCCCATGCTTCTTGTACAAGGTGAAACGATGTGCCTGCTTGGCTTCAGGCGAGAACGAAAGAAGTCAAAGCCAAATTAGGCCAATGATGCAAATTCGAGCAATGTAAAATGCTGCACTGCTGGGGGAGGCGCCTAAGACGCGGCTTCGGCTGGTAGTACGCAGCCATAGCAATTGCCCTGAGAGCTGGGCGACGCCAAAATAACGCAAAAAAACCCTAGCGCATCGGAACCAAGTGCTTGGCTCGTCTGTCTCACGGAGACTTGCTGCCATCTTGCCTTCTTTGACCCAGCGGCCGTCCTGCAACATCAAGCTGAGACACGGCACAGGGGCGAGGTGAGAGTGTGGAACAAACGAGAATGCAAATGTGTGTGTGAATGTGTGTTTTGATGTGAGCAAAGCTCTCCTCTTGGCGGTAAATGTCAATTTGATAGGCATCGCAGGATACAGTATTTGGGTTCTCCTGCTTGATAGCCTCAAGCAATGCTCAGCGTTGAAATCACTGAAAACATCAATCTTTGTCATCGCCCTTCTGAAACAACTCAGACAGGATCAGCGAAGATCGGCTTGATGTCTGCACTTTCTTCAAGTATGCCTGACAAACATTGAAGCTAAGACGAGCAGCATCTTATCAAAGTTCAAGTTCACACAAAGAAACGTGCGATCAAAACACATTCAACAAATACGTTTACATACATGTCAGGAGTGCTATGTTTTGCAGGCGCTGGGTCGATTGGAAAAGCATTGCCAGCGAGCTGGAAGCCACCACTCACGCCCTGCAAGGTCAGGGAGTGAGGGCACGGCAGGTGGGCGACAATTCGAGAGTTTTTTTTTGTGAGAAGGAAGTCGACCCTTTGGTTCGTCTCTTTCTTAAACATGGACACGAGTGCAGGGCAGGCAAGAATGCACACAGCTGGTAAGGCCCAGGCAAGGCTTCTCAGCTGACAGACCCACACTGCTGGGGATAGTTGCGAGACTTTGCCTTGCGGGTGGCAATCTAGGCAAGCAACGTGATAAAGTGCTGCCTTGCAGGAAGGTCAGTCTAGCGCTGAGAACGCATTTGATGCAATATGAAAAAACTAGCGCCCATTGTCCTGTGTCGCAACACTCTCACCCATCACTCTCGCCCACTCGCAACACATGTGTCGCAACACTGTCTGAACATGGTACTGGTCGAGCAATGGAAAGATCTTCGATACATCCAACGAGAAAGTAACAGGCATTCACACTGAATGCATGGCCAAGGAACAAGACATGACAAGAAACGAGTGATGTGGAGGGAGGCTGGTCTAGATTTAGCGCCAAATGAACAATCCATTGCTTGGATTCAAGGGCGAAACGAACCTTCAGGCGTTAGACACCACAAAAGAACCTGACCTCGCCAGCTTTGCTTGCATCTACTCAAGGGCATGTCTGCCAAACCCCAGGAGTGGACGAACATGCAAACGTGCAACAAACCCAATGCAGCAGACCAAACACTTGTCTTTGACAGCGAAGTTGAACATGGACAACACATTACACATCCCTACGTTTTGGTATGATTGTTTACAACTTCCAGCTTGTCAGCATGAATGGACATACAAACATTGTTACATGCTGAGCAAGCTCGTGCGCGAGTCAAGGCCCGCTCCAACATTTGAGCAGAAAACCTTGCAAAGCAGCGGGGTTTGAGAGCTCATGGGATTCCAAAGCCTGCAGTTCAGCACCATTTCAAAAAGCATGCTCGAAGTAGCGCGCTTTTCTCTGCACATCTTCGAATTGTTTGGCATTTGCACACTTCGGCAGTCGGGATGCCTCGGTGAAAAGAGATGAGACAGCGCGGATCTGTTGCTGGTCCTAGTACCCGTCGCAGGCCATTTCTCTGCTGACTTGAAGACCGGCAGCCTGCACGCTGCAAACGAAACAACTGTATGCGCAGCTGTTACTTTAATTTTCGTGGCAAGTTATCAAGTGTCCAAACATGCTGTGCTAATAGGCAAGGCTACCCAGTCTGATGCATATCAAGTGGTAGTTCGTAGCAATTGCCCCGAGAGCTGGGCGACGGCCACAAAATAACGCAAAAAAACCCTAGCGCATCGGACCCAGTGCTCCTTGCATCTGTCGGTCAGTCTGTCTCACGGGCACTTGCTGCCATCTTGCTTCTTGGACCAGCGGGCATGTCTGCATAACATCAAGCTGAGACACGGCACAGGGGCGAGGTGAGAGTGTGGAACAAACGAGAATGCGAATGTGTGTGAATGTGTGTGAATGTGTGTTTTGATGTGAGCAAAGCTCTCCTCTTGACGGTAAATGTCAATTTGATAGGCATCGCAGGATACAGTATTTGGGTTCTCCTGCTTGATAGCCTCAAGCAATGCTCAGCGTTGAAATCACTCAAAACATCAATCTTTGTCATCGCCCTTCTGCAAACAACTCAGACAGGGTGAGCGAAGTTCGGCTTGAGGTCTGCACTTTCTTCAAGTATGCCTGACAAACATTGAAGCTAAGACGCGCAGCATCTTATCAAAGTTCAAGTTCACACAAAGAAACGTGCGATCAAAACGCATTCAACAAATACGTTTAAATACATGTCAGGAGTGCTATGTTTTGCAGGCGCTGGGTCGATTGGAAAAGCATTGCCAGCGAGCTGGAAGCCACCACTCACGCCCTGCAAGGTCAGGGAGTGAGGGCACGGCAGGTGGGCGACAATTCGAGAGTTTTTTTTTTGTGAGAAGGAAGTCGACCCTTTGGTTCGTCTCTTTCTTAAACATGGACACGAGTGCAGGGCAGGCAAGAATGCACACAGCTGGTAAGGCCCAGGCAAGGCTTCTCAGCTGACAGACCCACACTGCTGGGGATAGTTGCGAGACTTTGCCTTGCGGGTGGCAATCTAGGCAAGCAACGTGATAAAGTGCTGCCTTGCAGGAAGGTCAGTCTAGCGCTGAGAACACATTTGATGCAATATGAAAAAGTCTAGCGCCCATTGTCCTGTGTCGCAACACTCTCACCCATCACTCTCGCCCACTCGCAACACATTT